ACACAGACAACCTCTCGTCAATATGCGTTTTTTGCATTGCATTACTGCAAAAAACGCATAACAAGTCATTCAGAGTAACTACCTGCTACTGAAGAAAGAGAGTGAAATTAGGGCGAAGAAGCAAGCAGCACCAGCAATTGTGGCCCTTGATGTCCCGAAATGATGTGTAGCGATTTGCTTCGTGCTACTCGCCCTTAGGGTCTCATTCTGGAATGCAAAATCAAAGTTAGTAAGCAGAAAATGTATTGCAAAAGTGGTACTCCTAAAACGAAACTACTTTTCACTATCATGGAGTTTCATCCATAATCGAATTGCTTTTGACTTGATCCTTTATAAAGCTTTTTTCTCTCGTTTTTCCATTCCTTCTTATTATAACTTTCTGTTGCTGTCAAAAAAAAATGCCTTTTTTTGGGGAGGGGGAGGGGGGGGGTTGTTTGAGCCCCCTCTATTTTTACCTCGTTTTGTAACGCCACAACAACTTTCTCCAACTGCTCCACTCGACTTCTCAATTTCTCGATCAATACATCCTTGTTCGTCAGACTTCGTCTCATATTTTCCAGTTCCTGCAACATGGAGTCTAGGAAGCTGAAATTTTAGGGTAATGACCCGCCTTGCCTATTCAAATTCATCGTTCCCGCGCTCTCGGCTACCAACTAGTGTTGTAGAAATTTTAGAGACACAAACAATGAATATCCCTGGCTAGGAGACTGACTGGAAGAGGACAAACTAAACTCTATTTATGCTTTCCTCCGCCATCCTTCCCTCTTCGCATTTTAAAATAACATATTGATCAAAGCATCCCAGTAACATCACGAAAATCGGATATATGGAAGCACCTCAGTAACACCATTAATACCAGATTTATCCTAGGCCGACCATTTGGGGTGGTTATGCAATATTCCAGGTGCTTTTAATGAAAAAGGCAAAAAAACATTTTATGTAAGAACAAAAAATTACCACCTTTTTCTTTCGGATACGTGAAATTTGTGCGAAATATCGATTTCGCATTTTCCTATCTTCCTTCTTACGATCCAGTTCCTGCAAAAAAATGCAGCGCACAAAATTTACCGGTAAAAAGAAAATTTGTCAATCACTCTTGGACGGTATAAAGTATCGCGTAATATATCAAATAATGATTAATGGTTTTTGTTAAAAATAGATTAAAGATCAACTGCGTCACTATGACGCAGTACCCCTGTCCTTGGTTGAAACTTTAACCACCCTTCCCTCAGTGAACTTTCGATCTTTGTCCTCTGAGGTATAAAAGCACTCCTCCCCATCGCCGGGATCTCCACTACCGATCTCCAGCTGCGACTTATTTCTACATAACTAATACTCCTATTCTGGGTAGCACCGACTCCCCAGAGCCACACCCCCCTTTTTATGCATTATCCTTTTGACTTACTATGTATTAATAAAAATGTACATAGGCCACGACGTTTTACATACACATACAAACGAGACACGCACTAGTCTGATAATCTATTAGGGTCGCGATAAAAAAGACAACCACTCCCTCTACGATTCGCTCATTAGTATACATAGCAAACCGCGGTATATGCCAGAAAGCTATCGGTTTGTTTATAAGTCGATTGTAGCAATCAGGTTAACCCTGAAAGCCTAAATCGCGAAGGCGCGATATATTTCAGCATGAAAGAACAGTATGAGAAAAGAAGGTAAGAGTGAGAAGAGTGAGATAAGACGTTTCGGTCCATTAAGTCATATACGCCTTAACTCAACACCTCAACGACAGGGCCTCGTCAGTATGACGGTCGCAGTGCTTAATGGAAAAGGAAAAGAGAAAGACAACAGAAAAAAGCAGAAAGGAAAACGATATGACAGTGAGATTAGATGGAGTAAGAGTGGGATGAAGGGGGAAGGGAAAAGGAAAGAGGAAGAAAAAGGAAGGAAAAAAAGAATTTAAAATCTTGAAAAAGGCAACAACTGACAACCCTGACAGCAGTTCGCTGCTATTGAAGGATATTTTCAAGTGCCTTTGCGTTTTATAGACAGTCAAAAA